TTTTTTTTTACATTGGGTACTAGTGGGATTTAAAATCTGCTTTTTTTCTCTAAATTTTAGAGCTGCACATATTCCAGAGCGGCTTATGTGATAGTTAAAAAAGCTGCTGTTAGCTTCGTTTTCCAAACTGCTTGAAAAACTGGGCTGAAGACATTGCTTTCGGGTTAAGGGTGGTAATAGGTAATGCTTACCATTGTATTTGAAAGGAAGGCGCAGAGACTTCGGTGAAAAGAAGCCTTTTACGATTTGTTGATTTTTTTTTTTCGGTACTGAATTTGTACTGTGTATGCTAATGAGTTAATAGCTATGAGGGTATTTTTTAAAGCATTTTTTCAGGGCTCATCAGCGGCTGATTACGGATCTGTATGTAACGGAGACACAGCGGCCAATGATTCACTGTACCGGTGCTGCAGAAGAGGAGGACGCCCGTCGATACCAGAGCGTGAACACCGTGAAGGCACTGATGCAGGATAAAGCAAGTCGTTCAAAGGAGTCGATGTGTGTTGAGGATAATGTACTGCTAGAATATCTGGGACATCAGGAATACATCGACACATTGCAGGTTCGCTGGTTTTTACTCGGATTGAATTAACCAGATTTGGAGTGGTTTTTCAATGATATGTCTTTTAAAATCAAAATTGTTCTGTTACTAAATTCAAATGTCTGTTGATGGGAGATGAAAACTCGGAAAAGTGGTTTCTTAGAAGAAGTGAAAGAACAAGTGAAAGATGAGAAATAAGCATTTTTTTTTAGAAATTTCAGATACCGCTGCAACCGCTAGCAGATAATCTGGATTCAGGAACCTATGCAGTTTTTGAGGAGGATGTGGTCAAATATACCATGTACCGTGAAGCCATCAGCCATGCCATTGAGGAGCTTGTTGAAATTGTTGCTGATCAACGACAAATTGTTGTTTATCTTCTAGGAGCAGGAAGAGGGCCACTGGTAGGTTTCGTATCTGTTCTTCTATGTTGGAACAAGTATAAAAATGATTTGGTTAT